CTCGTGGCTGATCAGCTCTTCAAAGGAGAATCCGAAATCATCTGGAAAGCGCTGCTTATGCCTAAGAAATACGTAATTAGTAGCTGCTAGGCAGCGCTCGCCACCCCTCAGTAGCCGGTCATGTCAATGATGTTTGCACTAGTGTGATGCCGCTTACCAACTGTTTGTGCCAGCCTCTGTTTCTCTCAAAAGGAATCGCGCCACCATTAATTTCTCGTTTACATACTATTCCTTGTACCTACAAATTGCCATTGCCTCTGACGCTTGATCCCCCCTGATGCGTGGCGGGTCCTTCTCAGATGTTTTACTCTCTAGAGGCTGCTGTACAGTTCCCATACACTTTGAGGCTTTTCATTTTGGCTGTAGTGTTTCTTGGACAAATTCAAGTTAGGGTGCCCGGCTTTCGGCAACTAAACTTCGTCATGTAAACCGTGTGGCCCTTACACTGGCTAGAAAATAACCCCGAGAGGCCATTTCTCCCTGGTGCACTTACTACAAACAAATCGCCGGAAGTCCTTATTCCGGCGCCTCAACAGTTTCCTACCAAAGCACCTCATACAGGGCTCCATGAATTTCTCTTTTCTTCTCTGCATTGCGTCCTAAAGCCTTGCAAAGTCCGGTTTCTGTACGAATACGCAGGAAGCGCAGAGTTGAAAAATTAAGGTACTAGCCGAGTCGGATCTTACCTTGAAGTAGTCGGGGCCTTCGGTCAGTGCCAGCCCTGGGTGGTTATTACACGAAATTTGCTCCAAGCACTGTTTTATGGGCTCAGAACGGCGTTTAGTAATAGAGTAAATTCAAATGCCCTTCGTTACTAGTGAAATATATTAAGCCTTAGCGCCGCCGTTTCTGAGTGGGAATTGAAAGCCATGCACAGGGTTTACCAGCAAGCCAGTGGAGCTGTTGCCAAATTCCTATCCAATAGACCTTGCGATGTTGCCCCTCTTTCGTTCATTCAGTGCGTTGAATGCGCAAATTTTCCGAGGTTTATCCATAGATGTTTTGCAGCTGCGGTGGAGGGTACGCCAAGGCGCATCTCAGCTTCCAGTACAGCGGTAGCCATCGACAGAGCGAGACCCACGGGATCACAAGGACCAGAATGTCACCTCTACGCGCCTGCAATCTGTTCACCAATATTTCTCAGCATCTACCTTGCTTAATATTGGGGCTTTTTGCAGACGTTCAATTATTTTATGTTGGGCTGGATACTATTCGCCTGCCCGTAGGAGCAGCAGGCAGGCTTCTGAACAAACACTGAATTTGTTAATACTCCTTCGAAAATATTGGCTCCTATCGTCTCAGTAGGATATTATGGGTACTTTCTGCAGTGTACCAACACGAAGGTCACATCACAACCCTCCACAGTGGAAGTTCCGGCTCAGTAGAGCCTCACATCTGGCGCCCGTGAGTGCCGGCCGCACAGATGGTATGCTTCCTATACTGATGCTGCGAACTACAAACACGTAACATCTCACTCAAGGGTCTCTGAGGACTGCCTTCAGGACAGTTCGTTCAGGTTGGGCAACTCGCGGCACTGGTTCCAACAAGTGCAGTCACCATCTTGTCTCTCACAGGCTGCGCGCTCTTCCGCCGATGTCTTACTTCAGTGGTAGAGCACAGAATTCTTCGTAGGCTTAGGAATCTCGAGGATTGTGCTTCCGTGTACTGGCCAGGCAAGAGGCTTTCTCGAGTGGAAGTTGAGGGCGAAAAATCCACGTTTTGTTGATTGTTGGGCCCGTCACGCAACCTTTCTGAGATTCCCCCCGTGCTGCCTGTTCAAGAACAATCGAGAATGGAACCGCGACGTACGAGTGGTAGTTCTGCTGATTCGCGTTCGCTGAGCGTGTCGTCGGACTCAGATGCCTTGGATGAGCCAACTGTATTGGAAGAAGCGCGCCAAGGTTCCGCTGCCGCAAACGCACCGCGTACAGCGAAGGGGAGAAGCAGAATCAACTCGATTCGGTCAAAGACTTTTCAGCGGCCTGCCTCACGAAGTCCCAACCATGTCGCTCCTCGTTCTAACCGCGGCGTGCTTACCAGCGGCTCGCGGCTGCTCGGCTCTGCAGACGCAGTCAGTGAAGGCGGACTTTTCAGACGCGGGCTTTCTTCTGGTCGCCGGCCAACTCGAGTTTCATTCGTGGATGAGCAGGACAAACTTGCTGCAACGTCGAGCAGCTCCGAGTCATCTTCTCGCCCAAGAATAGATTTTACTATAAGCAGGCAATCTAAAGAACCGACTGAACAACCGGCTGCACCTCAACCTGACATGAAGGCTCGCATTGCTTGTCGAGCACTAGCTATTGCGAACGCAAACAGAAACGTGGCTGCAATAGCTGCAGAGAAGCAGGCCCTTGACGATACAGAGAGTCCAGCGATTGATGCGGTGGAAATGGAGATCGACAACCTAAACCATCAGTTACGGGATGTCAAAGACTCTCTCCATAAACACTGTTTGACGATCCTCAATTCCTTGGTTGGGGACAAGTGGACCATCGACACCAGCGGTTAGGCTGTGCAGAGTGCACACAATAGGACACAATAAGACACAGCCACTTTTTCTGTCTGTAGCACGCACAGTAGTTGTATTCTTTGCATTTGCATATTCCTTTGTTCACGGACTGGTGAGTGTGTGGCGCACTTGCTTGCAGATACGTTGGCCAAGCGTATGCTACGACCGTCCAAGTGGTCGACCGCAAGCCAGGTTCAAAAAGAAGTCCATCAAGCGAACGAGGACAAGCAGACCTGGTTTGGACCGTCAGCAATTGACGTCTTTGGAGACAGCTTGGTGATTGAAGAGAAAAATCCCTATCGCATCGTAGGGGTATTTGCCCGCAGGTATCAGGACACGAGACAGCGGATCCCCTACTTGGATGATTTGGTCTGCTCTGGAGTTCTTCCGTGCATCCAGCACCTCGAGCCGCCAGTCGGCCGACCGCAGCTACTACAGGCTCCGCTGGAACCCTTATCACCCATTAAGGCTTTTCCAGACAGAGGATCGCTGCCGCCGTCCAAGCTATCACGAAATAGTGCTGACCCAAATGACGCGAACATGGGCTCTGCAGAGCGGATTTCTCGACGTGACTTACCATCCCACAGCAGAGGATCTCACTTTCGAGTCGCGTCCATGCCTGCCCCTCCGCGTGCTCCTTGGGGCATAGCAAAGCAAGTAATGAAAAATCGCAAGGGTGCCTGCTGCGTTGCGCAGTGCCCGGTGCCGTGTTCACGCTACGTCTGTGTCCTTCCACCGGTGAACTATACACGAAGCTCGGCACCGGCAAGCTACGCCACAGTCAACATAGAGAACAATAACATGAGGATCCCAAGTCGCCTTGTCGACTATCTGGATAAAAACTGTGTGGCAGTCGAAAGGCCCTCCTGGGACAAGAGCAGCACGAGGAAGCACACCAAGGTTAAATACACCGACTCCAGACGTTCCCGATCATCGACGCAATCTGATGACACGGATTCAAGTTGGGGAGAAGATGGAGCTGATAAAGACGGGGCCTGGGGTTCCGGAACATGCGAAATTCCTCCCATGCTCCCTACTTCCATCGCAAGTGGCCTACCTCAATTTTTTAGAAGAGAAGTTGGCAACCGTTGGTTGCCTACATTGTTCACCGACGCAGACATCCGAATCTCGGAGTACTGGAAGCTTGAGAACATGAAAAACAGGGAGAAGGCGGCATGGGTTTTCCAAGGGACTCATGCAGAACCCAAGCCTGTAAGCAAGCTATTCCTTAGATATGTCATATCCATAGGAGACCCACATTGTGTGTCCACTCCGTCGTAATCTAATTTTTCGGCGCGTTGTTCTTCTTGTGTTGCAATTTCAGTATCCATGGGAAGAAGTGCCGCTGGAAGGTAGGCCACTCTCCCGCAAAGAGATTGCGCAACAACGCAAGGACGCAAAATCACGGCGGCACATTAGCCGCGATGCAGAACGCTTGCTGCGAGGCGTCGCACAGAGCACGACCTGGGATGGCGAAGCAAGTGCGTCGCAGCGGTGTAGAAGCAGTCTTACAATCCAGCACTCCACACGCACACAATGGCGCATTCGTTCTCCAGCTGTGGACCACAGCCCGGTGCAAAATGGCTTCCATAGGTACATTGATATGCCCGGTCTACGAAGTGTCAGGCGTATACGCTAGCCGAATTTTTAGGCCTCACAGCGTGCGCGATTGGGCATTTTTTCGCCTTCTCTCGATAGGCGTGGAAACGCATGCTGGGACTTTCCACCGAAGTAGCTTTAGTGCAGCAATGCGTGTGGCTGCTTTTTGGGAAGCATTGCAGCCCTACTGGAATGCAAACACCTCGCGAATTCTTGAGGTGGCACTTTTCAAATGGCTGTCAAAGTCGTTTGTGTTTACAATTCATCGTGTTTGAATTGCAGTACTCCTCAGCAGAAGCCCAACCCTCGCTGAGTGTACAGTCTCCTACAGCACCCACAGTGCATTCAGAAACGTTGAAAGCTTCTAGAGCTGTGCAACATTTAGGCCACGTGGTGCCGAACTGCGTCTTTGGACGAGCAGCTGCGTGGGGTTCCAAAAACAGTTCTGTTCAGGCGATACGAATAAGTCGCGCAAGCCAAAAGGAACCTTTTCTGGCTTCCGTCAACTTCGCCCGCCGTCAACACGTATCTACTGACAGATTTTTTTCAACTGGTGCAGTGCGTCCGATAAGTGCAGAGCATCGAACTGAGATGGTCACGCCTGTTCAGGAAGAGACTGTCTGAGCCGAACACGCAGTCCCCACCAAGCCATCTTATGTCTCTAGGCCAAATCACCTTCACGACTGATTCCCCGGAAATGTAACATGGAAAATTCTTCGTGAAGCGTTTTTTGCTGTCATGTAGCCAGTTGTCCGCCACCTCGCGTTTTTCGCCTGCTTTCCCAGCAGCAAATCACACTGCTGTAAATATTTCTGCCCTCCGTGTCTATTGCGTCAGTTCGCAACGAAAGTTGTGTTCTTGCAGACAAACTCATGTACCGGTCTTCGTTCGTTCAGTCTACTTTTTGTTTTCCACAATGAGTCCTTGGCACCGGGCAAACAAAGTATGTCGCACACAAAGCTGCCAACACGTCTGCTGATCCATTGAGTATGAAGCACAAGAGATCGAGCCGAGATCCCGCCACCAAGGCAGCAAAAGACATCCCCAGCATTGGGCCACCTGAACACAGCAGATACAAAATAGCCGTACTGAAGGCAAGCAACATCGACTGTTTAGTGCTGCTGCTGACTGTTTCTCCAAAAATAACCTAAGTCCTGCTTAACTTACCGACAATCCTGCAAAAAGGAAGACCAGCAAGGACGGCAAGGAGAAGCACTGCCAAGTTTATTCGTTTTGCATGTCTCAGTTCCAAATAGAAAGCGGCGGAGGTGACGACTGAACTGACCAAATAGACGATGAAGCAGAGCAAAAACTCCACCAGAAACGTATCAAGTAATAGGCTTATGGAACGAAAAGTCTCCATGGGAGAGAATGACAGCAGCACATTCTGCAGGTTTTGCAAAAATGGATCAAAAATCTTTGGGCACCAACCCACAACGGCAACTGCTGCAGTTTGTACGTGCGAGGCAACAAGAACGCTTTGTTCATCCGTCAACACCGCATTCAGAATATCTATACCTATCGACGGCGTCAACGCCCCGTCACTTCTCACTCGACGAAACAACTCGTGAGGAAGAGGCAGGACTCCGCTGAATGGATTTAATGGACTGAAGGCAGCTATGACTAGACCGACGGTTACAGCCCCAAGGAGTCCCGACGCACCACCAAGGAACCATTGCCCTGAATAAGACAATGGATTCGTGTTGAGCTGACGTGGTTTCGCAGAATGGGTAATGGAACTTTAAGCAGTTTGTACGGCACTGGAACGCTCCTAAAACGCTGTAATAAAAGGCCTCACGAGGCGACAAGTTTTGACAATGCAGCGTTCGCAGACTTACATTTTTTAGCGGAATGCAAAGATGACCCGTGTGTTTCTTTAAATTGCTTCTCTTGCGCTGCCTCCATGAAGGCAGAGCATGCATCTCCAGTACAGTCAACACCAAGCACTTCCATCCACGTCGCGTTCGCTACGAACACAGTGAGAACGGTCAATGCATCGGAGCTCCACCGGCTAAATGGAGTGGTCTTGCCCAGAATAGGTATTAGCAGTGCTGGCAGGAATGCAATGTACGCGTGAAACGCGATGCTGGCAGCATAATTTCTAAAGAAGTAAGCTGCGGCACGCTTCAGGCTGATGAGCTTGTCCGTGCTTGACCCAGCCAAGACACTGTCACCCGATGCCTCAGCTCCTGCGGAAACACTAGCTTCCATGCCATGCGGAGGTGGGTAGACTGGATGGTGTTTCGTGTTCCTTCGCTTCCTTTTTGGTTTCTTCAAATCCATTGTCGCTCAACACTGCTGGAAAGTACAATCTCCAAGGAAGAGAAGTTGCCCCCAGAATAAAGCCCAGTTACTTGGAGAAGATTTCCGTCTGAATGATTTATCCTGTGAAAACACTTCGCTATAGGCGTATTTCATGTAACCGAGGAACTACCGCGGGTGCGAATTCGACAAAACTCTGCTGATCGCCTCACGACCTCTACCTATCCTAGTGAGGCAGTCTAACAATCAAAAAGGCAGTGCAGAATAAAGACGTACTAAGCGCAAATTAAGAGGTGTACGGCTTTATCATTCCCAACTTTCTTGTCGTCCTGGAACCGTCCAGGAGGAAAGGACGGACCACTTGATCTGATGTGGAGACACAGCCGACCCCATTGTCGATTTTGTCTCACCCAAATCTTGTTATTTAAAAAGAAAATAGTGCTTTTTCCGCAGTGAGGGTCGTTGGGAAAGGCATATTTAGAGACAGTAATTGGTTATGCGCAGTCGCACTGGCCTTTCATAATCAGGCCCATAACCAGGCCACAGCCAAAATTGATGAGCACCAGTGGAGGCTTTTAGCTATCTGTGGCATAGAGATTAACTATTAAATTGCATGCAGTCTACCTACTACGGTTTGTGAACGTTCCCTACCACAAGTTGCTGCAGCTGGCGCAGAGACCGTCTTGCCGCCTATGGCAGGGCATGGGCTTGAGCCGAGCAACCTCATGGATCGCACAAAATGCTACTTACAGGTACCAGATCTAACTTTGAATATTCCAGTCCTGCTATGGAGAGGCTTCCAGGGAAAGAGCTACCCTATATTGCTGCTATACTGCTCATGAAGCAAGCGGCTTAATAGGCCCTCTGCAGTTTCCAGCTAATGTTCCCCATTGGCCTCTCCTCTAGCGCATCATGCGACAAAGGTGTTATCCCATTACATTCACGAAGCAATGAGCGCTCTTTGAAGTCATTTCACTTACAGTTTCAAGCAGCGTGGCCCTTTGGGCCTAAAGTATTACGGGACCGTTGCGGGCGTTCGGTAGGGTGATCCTTTCGCTAATAAACTCGCGCAGCATGGTTTAAGCGTTACAACTCCTTTAATGCAGCTAGAAGGAGCTAGATGAAGCGACTGAAGCAAAAAGAGAAGGTCATTCTCTCTGTGCTCCAGGAAGGGAACGTACTGCGTGTGCTTGAGAAGATGTACCTCCCGCTACTCCTTTGCGTACGGCTCACGACAGTTTTCACCGCTTTTGCTCCAAAGGCTTCTTATAAGGACTAGATGCAGCTTTTCATTATAATCACCTCTCCAGGCAAACGCCACGGGCAGGAGTGACATTGTCAAAGTCTCATCACACGAATAGATTTGCAGCATCGTTATTGTACACCTTATGATAGCTGTACACGGCTACAGCCACTGTTTGCCTGAGCACTGGAAACGGTTACAGAGATGACAGGCTTGGATAGACCCTGTGAGCTTTGCATTCAGCGCTGCGTTTTGTGGCAGGCAGCTACCCTATATAACTGGTGGAACCCTTGCGCATTCAGCGCATTCAAGCAATGTTATTGCTAGTGATGCTTGGTGCGGAAGAATATTGGGAGCTACCGGCATTTGATCTTTACGTACGCTAAGCTGGGCCTGGTACTAGTGAAGTGGGGTTTGTTCGGGGATGTCTCAGTTGCCCAAACAGCACATTACGAAACAGGAGCCCCCACACAGGCAGTCACAGAAGAAGTGCGAAGCGTGTGCCTTTATAGGCGGATATGCACCTCCGTAACAAGCAGGCGATAAAAGCTGCAAAGAGGTCGCAAACGGAGTGCTCACACAGCGCAGTCAGCGGAAACTTTGTAATCCCAGGAAACAGAACAACAGACGGCAGGGTTCAAGTAGACGAATAGGCTGCATAGGAAGCGGAACCACACGGCTACACCACCGGTCTCCTGTAAGTCAGAGCTCCAAACCAGTCAAACGCCATTCAGCAATTGGCTGCTGCGGTGGAACTCTCATCAGAATTTTTGCATTAGCAGTGTTTAGAGTTTGCACTTTCGGGGCAGCAATAGATTCTGACGCACGAGCATAGAGGACCATCATTAGGCCTCGTAGACGTCCATTACACTGATACGATCGGACGGAGGCCATGGCACTGCAAGGTAGCTGGCCAACTGATAGGCTTCGCCACCACCACTGTGCGCATCTGAGGGACAATGCGTGAGCAGCTGGCATTTCGTGGAGCATTGGTTACACGTAAAGTCCCGTAATATATGATACACTAATGTAATGAGCTAGCTTAAATCGAGTGGAAGAGTGACCACAATAAGTGTACCGTTAATACCTAGCTCCTTGGAGAACCTAGTTATCAGTGCAGGGGACGATAACAGAACATGACGCTAAGTGTATTCGCTGTTCTGAATAGCTGCAGACGAGAGAAACATAGAATACCCCAACTTCTGTATTCAACTCATAAAATGAACATAGAGCTACATTCTCCTAGCTGACCGTCAGGCTTCTGCGGAAGAGCCCCAATGACAGCCATATCTTCCCTGTGCTTGGTAAGCTCCCACTGAAGCCTCCTAACAACAACGTGACATTCGGTCAGCTCAGTTTCGCAAGCAACAACTAGCTATACTGTCAGCAAAGTAGTGGGCTGTCCGTGCATCCTCGCCTGCTCGCTCGAATATAGCCACAGGCAATAAGTCCAATGATGACTCTGACAGTTGAGAAAGGCGCATGCATTCTAACTACCAAGGAGTAGCACCCTCACTTTTGCCCCATCTTTACCGTTCCCGCTATTGAAAGCGTTTTCGGACTACTATGCGGAATTGAACATTTTTACAAATTGAGACTGCAAACTTGCGTCAATTAACGTTGTATGGCCAAGAAGAATCAAAGGAAAGCTGCTTGCCACTCGACGTTTGGGCTTCATGTGCAGTCAGTATTGCGTTTTAGGCTTTACCGATGTTCCCACTACATTTTAAGCCACTATATCACCCACGGCTTCAGCGTATAGCTGGACATTTTCTTATGTGCAGCCCTGAAGTTGCGGAGCTGCCTGATCTATTGCGACAAGTTTGCAGCTTGTTCCTCATTCAGCTGTTGCTTTAGAGGGGCTGCAGGCGCAAATTAGATTTTCCCCACTGAACAGCAACAGCAGCAGCACCAAGAGCAGCGTCAGTAGCAGCAGCAGCAGAAGTTGTGCGTACGGCGCTTGCGGTACGGCTCCCGCTCAGCCACAACACACGGGGGAAACCGCACGCAGGACTTTACTGCAGGGCAGGGTCACCATGAGGGGTCTGAAGGCTGCTGCAAGCTGCAGCAGCAGAAGTAGTAGCAGCAAGGGGGAGTTGCAACTGCAACAGCCCCTACAGGTGTGCGACTCTTAGTGCTCCAAGCTGCCCTCCACTGCCTCTGCGAGGGCCGCTAGCACGATCACTGACACCGCAGCAGCAACAAGCAGCAGTGCCAGCAGCAGCAGCATGGTACGTGAGCGTTCTGAAGCTTCTCTGCTTGACTTTTTGGAGCCCTCTCTCGGTAGCAGTATTGGGATTGCTACAGCAGCAACAGCAGCGGCCGGTGCGGAGCGCCTGCAGCTGTGGCAGCGAGGCAGGTGCTCCAAGCCGCGCAGTAGGTCGGGGAGAATAGCGGAGGCTGCTTGCACGCGCTGGAGCATAGCGGCAGGAAGCTCGGCTCCGCTCTGTCTCGTATACTCCCGCAGCAATCAGCAGCAACTGCTGCTGCTGCTGCAGAACTCAGTCGCAGGGCCCGGCCACCTAGTCACATTCCCTCCTGCAGCACTCCTGCAGCACTTTTCCACCGTAGGCGAGAAGGCGGAAAGGAGCTCACATGCGCGAGGAGAGGCTCCGGTACAGCTGTCGGGAGCAAGGAGATCCCAGGGGGATCTTTGAGGGTCCCCAGCGGCCAGCGTCCATGGGATTCCACGTCAAGCTACCTACCTACCTATTTTCTCCCTGACTCAGTCCCCTCCACGCCCAAAGCCAATTATGGAGCGATAACGCCCTTACTGAGGCCGTCCTAGAAAGACAACCCTGTTCCTTCACAAGCTTGTTTAGCCTATCCCAGCTTTCAAGCATTGTATGAGCCCTAATGATTCACACAGCTCAAGGCAGTTAATCTACTCGATTATTAGAGACTCCTATCTGGCAACTCGCCCTTTGTCCTGAACTCCTATGTGTGCATCAATAACAGCTGGCGCAAGTTGGATCCACAATTTCCAGGAACCCTTCCACAATTTCTCTCCATGCATCACAGCCGCAGCACAGCTTTCTCGTAAATGTCACCACTGTGGGTTATGTGAACTCAGCCTGCAGCATGCATAGAGTCATGTTGCAGTGCCATGTAAAGCAATGAACCAGGAACTTACAGGTCTTCTCTTGCCGCCTAGGATTCTCTCACGAGGCTGTAATCTTGCAAATTTTGATTTCATAGCTGTCTGCCGTCTGGTTGTTTCCTGCTCTGCATACCACTGCTTGTGGATATCCTTATCAAGATGGCTCACGAGTGACCGTGCGTGTGCGCCGTCATTTGCACGCTGAGCATATAAATGTCAGTATTTTACGAGCCATGCCACAAGAAAGAAGCACGGACACACATAACACATAGATTCGTACACAGGACATCCATGTACAAGGTAAGCGCAATCATAAATAATAGTCGCACTACGCTATGCAATGACCACTTCTCACATAATCCTACAGCGTCATGTTAACTTGCACAAGGCAGGATACAAGTTTGCGGAAATACCTCATATGGAGATAAACAGTTGTATTCGGGGATTCGCAATTAGGAAGGGGTGCAGTCTCAAAGCTTACTGTTTCACGTATGCCTGAGCATGAGAAACTCTCAGACCTTGCGTTAAACGTCTCTGCTGTGCGTTTAAGTGAATACTTTGTTGGTGTTGTCGTTCGAGGGCACTGCAGAGGCCCGGAACCCCTTGTCTACAATAGCTCGCCGATCTTGCGTCCTCTTTGCGTTTTCTCAGTGAAACGTCCGTATTACTGGCCTTGACTGGTCCCCTTCCTTTAAAAGTTCGCCTTGTGTTTTTTAAATGCCGTCGTTGTGCTGTAGGCAAGTGAACTCTGCGTCCAAGCTTCTACAGTTGCAGCCAAATTCACGAGGGACTGTAAAATTATTGCTTCCTCGGGACGGTTAAGAACTGGCAAACCTAAGGAATCTAGGGAACTAGAATAAACAGCTGAAGTTCTTAGATGAGCGGTTGATATTTTATTACAAACCTTGAAGTTACAAAATGAACAAGTTGACTGCTTACAGCTCGTGGTACAAGCCCTCCAACACTTTACGGACGTGGAATTAATAGGCAGAAAATCGCCCCGTATGCGGGGTCAAGACTAAACCATAAACACCCCGTTTAAATCTACACACGGAAGTCCGATATTTCCTCAGCCATATATCTTCAACTCAACGCATCCGAGCAGTCTTCCACAGCCTACAACAGCGGTAAGGCCAGAGCAACTCCGCATGCAACCAACGTGAAGCCTCTTCCCACCCACACAAATGCCTACATTAGATGAATATGCATATTTGGAGCTATAATGGCTGTGGTGCAGGAATCTCGCTAGAAGAACTCCTGAGGTCGAAATGTCGTCGTAGCGTAAGTATCGATTGTGTATGCATCACGGATACTACTTCTTCATGGAATATTTGGCTGTATTTAAGTCAAAGTGAAGCCTTTCTTCTTTTGTAGTTTTTATTATGTGCCGGCCTTCTCTGCCGTTTTTAGTTTATGGTGAGTGGCGTGGGCCAGATCTTACAACATGCCTGTGGGGCCTGGAGGCCTCCTCCGCATACGTAAAAGCCAGAAGTTTCAGCTAGTCTTCGTCGCTTCAACCTTCATCTGCATGTAGTTGAAGGATTTAGCTGGATCATTAGTTCCGCTTCAAATGGCCAGCGTCCAGCTTGCTCTTGTACCGCATCCCTCAGTAGCATTAAGTTATCCTTGTTGCGCCACATTCTGGCATGAGCTACATACATTAAGTCCTCCTGAATCCATAAATTGCCGTGTTATTACAGCCGTACCTCGACAGAGGCACCCTGGAGGTCAGTCTTTCCTTCCACCATGCGTGGATCTTACCCAGGCACGTTTCTTGACTGCCGTCAACTAACGCTAGCGGCGTCCACGTGGCCATTGAAGGGGATCACCTTTTCGAACCTTGCTTGACGGGTTTGGTTACTGGACCATCCCGATTTCAGTCCGCATAATAACTGCAAATGCTTCTTTGGATTTAATTCTTGCTGCTGCTCTGCTGCTACAGGTATTTCTATATAGATAAAGGAAGATGGCGGACGGATGGGATGCTGAGAAGGTCTTCAACTCCACTGTGTACGGCTTTACATATGATGATCTCATATTAATGCCGGGTAAGGCACCATGAATGTCAAAACTGTGCAGACCTTCAGCCTGAAACATAGCTGTCTGTGCCTCATGGCAAGATGGAGAAGGAAAAGTTGTGTTTGTGCAGGGCACATCGGATTTGGCATAGATTCTGTAGACCTTTCCACGAAGCTAACGAGGGGCATCACCTTGCGCCTTCCGTTGGTTTCATCCCCAATGGATACGGTTACTGAGCATCGTATGGCTATAGGCGTCGCCCTTATGGGGTGGGACTCGGGTTCTGCACGTTTCGGTTTGCTAGCGAGTAAATACTATGTGAGGTCTACTGTGCACCTGCGCTGCGGCCACGATGTGGCAGTTCTGAAGGTTCATTCCATGTGACTGTTTGCAGAGGTATTGGAATTATCCACAACAATATGGAGATCTCGCAACAGGTACAGCAAGTGAGGAAGACCAAGCGCTTTGAGAACGGCTTTATAACCGAGCCGTTTGTTCTGAAGCCTACGGATACTGTTTATGATGTTGACTGCATCAAGAAGGTGGGTGGTGAGAAGATTGTCTCTGCTGAGAAAGCAGCACGTCCTTTCAGTTCCATTCTAAGCGTCCGCATAAGTATTATGCAAGCATTGTGCAACACTGTGTGTCGCTATATTGCGAAACAGCAACAGTACCTGTAGTGAGACACCTAGCTGACAAGCTTGGTGCTATGTAAAGAACTGCACTTTTTGTTTCGAAGATTGGAGGATAAGGCGTACAGTTAGCGTTTTGTTTGAATGAAAACGTTCAGAAATACGGGTACAGCTCCGTCCCCATTACATCTACTGGGACACTCGGAGGGAAGCTCGTTGGGATCGTTACATCGAGAGATATCGACTTCATCACAGACAGGCACACTCAGTTGAGTGAAGTAATGACAACGGACCTGATAGTAGGTCACGAGCCGCTCAACCTCACCCAAGCTAACGAGATAATGCGGAAGTCGAAGAAAGGGAAGCTACCTATTGTGAATGCCAACTTCGAGCTTGTCGCCCTAGTGTCTCGCAATGATCTCAAAAAGAATAGGGAGTATCCTTTGGCATCGAAAGATAATAACAAGCAGCTGCTAGTGGGAGCCGCTCTTTCTACAAGGTGAGTCGATGGAGTAGTTGACCAATAAGGGCTTCTGCCGAAGTGAAAGTGCCAGAACTACCATAGAAACTATTTTGCGCAAGTTTCGGCTCGAGGGCGCAAATGGGCGTGAGCAAATGGACTAATGGACTAGGCTGGCGCTTTTTCAGGCCAGCGGACCTTGAAAGAGCAAAGGCACTGCTGCAAGTTGGAGCGGATGTTTTGGTTGTCGACAGCAGCCAAGGTGATTCAGTGTTCCAAGTTGACATCGTGAAGCAACTCAAATCGGCGTATCCTAACACGCAGGTAGGATAGCTGACGTCAAAAGAAAGCCCTAAGCTACGTAAGCCAGAATTCCGGCCTTGATTTAAATTACGGGGTCGCTAGGATTAAAGCGTCTTGGCACCAATGCGCACAGATCATCGGAGGTAACGTCGTTACGGCGAGGCAAGCGAAGTCGCTCATAGACGCTGGAGTTGATGCCTTGCGGATTGGCATGGGTAGCGGCTCCATCTGCACTACTCAGGTGACCAAACGTCTTCGCCCTAATGTCCAGACAGCAGCTTTCTGTGCTGATGCGCCATCCAGGAATAGGAGACATCTTCTGCCGGCACTGACTCAACCATTTGTTCGTTATTGTCTTTTTGGGGTTGCATGCACAGGTTGTCTGCGCCGTGGGGCGTGCCCAGGCAACCGCTGTCTACCATGTCAGTAAATATGCAAGAGAAGTGGCAAACATCCCCTGCATCGCTGACGGTGGCATCCAAAACTCAGGGCATGTAGTAAAGGTGCGCTCATATCTTAATTTTGAAGCCGAAAATGAAAAGTTCTCTTCGAAACCAACGAGCTTCGCTTCTCACTCGTTCAGCTAGCACAAGCGTTGGATTCAAATCAGAAGCTGGGTTGTTCGAATTCTCGTTTGTTTTCCATGAATGCAGGCGCTAGCCCTTGGAGCCAGTACTGTGATGGTTGGATCTCTACTGGCAGCCACGGAGGAGGCCCCAGGGGCATACTACTTTCACAACGGTGCCCGCGTGAAGAGCTACCGGGGCATGGGAAGCATAGAAGCCATGCGAGCTGCATCAGGAGCAGGAGGCCCGCAGCAGCCTCAGGGTGACGGCAGCACCACTCCAAAAGCAGCTGCTCCCTATGGCTCCGCGGCGCGTTACTTTGCAGAGGGCCAGAACGTGCGTGTGGCGCAAGGCGTTACAGGGTGTCTTGTCGATAAAGGGTCAATTCGCAACCTGATACCTTACGTCATGCAAGGAGTCAAACATGGACTACAGGATGCAGGAGTGTCTACCATTCAGGAGCTTCACGAGAAGCTTTACTCCGGCCAAGTTCGCTTTGATGTCCGGTAGGAAAGGCACAACTCTGATCTGTACCAGCCAATTAATCGATGAAACCACTAAAGGATAGTGCTTTGAAAGCGCCGGTGCCAGTCAGTCATGGTCCTAGGTTGCTAAAGCCTTGAAAAGCTTGAAGCAAATGCCGCGAGACGCTCTTATGGCTTCGGAACCCTCATGTTGTGGCCATGTCCCAAACCCATGAGAAGCGGGCTCCACTTGCATTTTGAAGAACCCGGGGGGATGTGCACTCATTGCTTGACGCAGGCGTGTTATTTTCTTAAATGTGTTTGCGCGTGCGTGTGTGTGTTTGCTTGTTGGTCTCCTCATCTGCAGCTCTGCCGCTGCACAAAGGGAAGGTAACGTGCATAACCTAACTGTCTTTGAAGGAGGAGCAAGCAAAAGCTAATGGGTCTGCTGGCGTAGCCGGTTCACGTTGTGAATGATTGGCACTACGTAGTATCTCCACCCCTGTGCAAGCAGGGAAACTCAGACAATATTTTCAATTTGATTTCTTTTATCGAAAACATGTGGGTTTTCCCTGCACGTATCCATCCTTTAGAAGAAATACGAACATGACGCTTGCTACATATTTCCTCCTCTATGCCAGGCAAGCATCTCGTTCAGCGAACACAGTTCTCGGGCAAAAGCGCCCGGAGATTAGCCTATAGTTGTTTATAGCGTTTCTCGGAGCATGCTTAGTCTATGTTTGCTCATGAAGCACTAATGGTAGTGCAGGGCTGTCTGCGCAAAGCACTGGCTTGCGCTTTGTGGTGTAATTTGCGGTGCAGAGTTCTGTGTTGTTCGACTTGTGTCATGTATGGCTCACTGCAGTTAAGGCACTCGGTTAGTGCTGCGCACTACAACAGAGTGGAAAATTGGCATTTTGGGGCCAAATAAATCAGAATAAATACACGGGGAATCCGAATTCCCTGCAAGGTGGTTAAAGCCTGCGGGCTGTGCAGCCAGGCAGGCCAGGATGGCTGGATTGTCTGGATTATGCGTTTACCTCTACTAAGCGCCTTTGTCGTGTATTCCGTGGTCTATATGAGTGCTTTGGGTAGCCACTACTGATAAACAACGCCGTAGCCAAGCTAGGCGTGACACCCTACACTCAGGCAGTGGCACAGGGAGGCTCAGTGCTCCGTTTCGCGCCTAAGCACCCAATTCAGCTAGGTGTTCACTCAGAAGCACTACAGTCATTCTTTTTTAACTATTGGAGACAGATATTGCCGGATGACTGCATCTATCGGCTGCGCTACAGCAACTGTGCGGCAATTCAAGAAATGCGCTCGGCTGGGTTCTAGAGAGCTGCCTTACCAGGATGTGGTGCAGCGGGCGTCAGCCAGAATTCTCCGACCAAAATCCCGTTTGCAGCCAGCATTTCTCCTTGCTAATTCACTACCTGGCGTTGCCGAGACCCATCGTGCGCGCTTGTAACTTTGTTGACCGACCAGGCGTCCACTTGCCGGCCAGTGCACCTTGTCTGAAAGCGTGGGGTGCTACTGTCTTTCAGCGTCCAATTACTTGTGGACCTCATGGCGTCGCGGCATTGCATATCGGTGAAGAAGCTTTAAAGCTGTGCAGCACTGAAGCTGCTTTTTATTAATAGTCTCTTTATTTGTGGGCCTCAATGTGCATGCTGTGGGACATACGCATGCATCTCAACAGAGCACCTTGCAGCAAGCTTCTTTGAATCTGTACTTGACCCAGCAATGCTCTGCGTAATAGGTACACAGTGTGCTGCTCCATGTAACGCTCATGTAAATATCAAAAACAACGGCGCGCTACCTACAACGCCGCAGATCAATTTTCTCACGATAGTACCGACACTCCCTCCACCGGCTGCTAACGATACATTGGCAACTCGAAACCGCGTGGGGCTCATGCATGCACTTCTGTGGAGATATTTGCCTGGCGCTTTTTCGTCTGTCGTGCTCTCAAGGCACTGCTGCGTGCATTTGTATCACCCCTAGGATCCGCAAAATGACTTACAGATGCTGTTTCATAGCACAGCTCGCACTTGCACTCTTAGAATCACCATAGTTTGATGATGTCTCTTAATATTTGCACAATAAGACCAAGCGTCGAAGCCACTAAAAGTGATGCTGTCTGGCACATTTGAAGTAATGAGCACGACTATTGCTTTGCACGGTTGCCCGCGCATGTGGTATCGTCGCCGACGACGGTAACATGAAACTGGCTCTAATGTCGCTTAAGCGTTCCTCACAGCGACGCACCCAAACTATTTCAACCGCCTCAAGGGTCTTCTAAAGTCATCTTTCTGTTGTAAAAACTAAGGGCCCGCGGGCTGACAGGACTTCTGTTCTGGTTGCAATAAGCATCCGTCCCGGGCCATAATCGCCACCGAACTGGTAATTGCCGCTTCCGTCGGGGGCACCCAAGTCTGCCCAGCTCTGGTTAGGCCAACTGACACATTCGAGTCTTAACGGTTAGTCTATACAGTGGATGCAACTGCAGTAATCACTCACATCGAGATGCTGAGTACGGTGCTGTACAGAGAGCCCCAGGCGTGCAGATAATAAACTGTGGCTGCCAAGCATTTTGAAAAGTTCGGTCCCTCGGCAGCTTTCCTAGTCCTTGTTTCAGTGTTTTCCTACAGGAGCACAAACAGCGTAAATGCAGAGCTTCAGTGGCAGTGGTAATAACCCACACAGCTAGCTGGTGAAGTGCACAAGAAACGGCGGATGCATGGGTCGTGTGGACTGCGTGCAGGTGTTCAACTGGACAGTGCCATACTGAGCTAGTTTGGGTCTGGCATGGAGCGCGGAGGCATAGGCACATTTGCAGGCAATGTAACTGCTTTCGACGAAATCAATGCTATGAGTGACGCGGAAGTCTTTGCTAAGGATAGCAGCCTTCGCTTCGAACCTCTCATTCTCGAGCTATCTCTTAACCGTTATCTTGCCAGCGCCTTTTCAAGGGGCACTTCGAAGTCAAAACTCCGTAAGTCCCACAATGCCACTATCCACCTCAGCTGCCATGTGTAAAAAGTTACAACAGCCGCAGCGGTCAACAGCAAAGGAACAAATGAGCAGATACCACTTCCTAAAGTACTTAAAAGCCAAAAACTAGGAGAAAATTGCCATGGAGATGGGCAAGCTATTTGGAGTACTGTTCCTTGAAAGCTACAAGCGAGCAGTGTGCTGGATGCCACAGCGTACGGCCAGGATGGGTTCGTGGCTGCTTGCATACTTCGTCTTCTGAGTCGTGACCCGTCTCTGCGAGCTCGCTGTTGTGTGTTCATTACTTCATACGGAATTGGATCCAGGCAACCCACGAGGGACTGAAACCGAAATCTGCGGTGGGGTTGTGACGCGAGTTGGAAGCTAGTCCCAGAAATTTAATTTGGCCGGTTTACGAACACACTAAAAACAGAATACAAGCGTAACTGAGCACTTGTGTTAGGAAAGGCTAGAACGAGTTACACAAAGCAGTCTGGGGCTGCTCTAAACTGCATGCATTGTGACAATTGGTCGGAAAGCTCAGTTTATATGCCAAGAGAACTACCTTTTTGTTTAATCATTTCACACTGGATTTTTTAACAGTGATCTATGGAGACTTAGATTTACCATGTAAGCCATTGTCTGGTCCTGCACTGTGTGCAAGCTGTGGTGACGACGCAGCTCACTTCGTCATCAACCTCAGTAGCGTGCTAATAGGCAACAACAGAGCAAAGAGTCAGCACTCTAAAAGGAAAAGCGCAATTTTCTGGTTTCTGAAAGGACGAAGCCTATTCATAGCCGTTTCAGCATCGCAGCTTCGTGGCAACGCATATCTAGCCGAGTATCGTTTTTTCCGTGGCATCTTGTGTCTTGATGACCTCGGCGACAGTTGGTTGCTTCCAAGAGGATGCCGCATGCTCAATTATCGATGAGGGCGTTGTTTCCAGGCTGCTTTCAACGGGAAACAATGACTCAACCGAAGTCGAAGCGTGCTGCAAGGAGTCTATCGAGTTGGATAAGCTTGTGCTTTTCTTAGGCCGTGCGCTGCTTCTTACAAGGCATACTCTATATGTACTGTTGTGCATGCCTGCAGTTGCACACAGAAATGTGTCTTCAACCGCTTTTGAAGTATCTGGCCCTTCAGGGCGCGGCGGTTTGTATGGAGATGCAGCCTCATTTGTTACGTGCGGGCAGCGTATGTGGCATCTGATTGCAAGCCTGAGCGCTAAACTTGGAAATTTAGCTCGTAATCTCCAAGTGATATCTGTCCCTATTGTGATTCCCTGGGAAACTCGGGAGCCATCACAAAGGGGAGTGTTACCGAGTGTCGCGGTTCAGAATGGCACTGAGTGGGTTTGCCGAGCAAGAGAGGCAGTGCTTCGCCACCACCAACTGACAGTAGGGGGCAAACTCTTTTGGAGGTGGTCACGTGAAACTACGCGTGAATATTCGGTCCCTCTTGTCGCGGACAATACATGCACGTTAACCAGTGCTGCAGCCCGCGACCTGTGGCCCAGGCACTGTTGCTTGGAACCCCTGGAATCTCTACCATTATGTCGAGCTGAGCAAATAGGGTCCTTTGAAGCGGATGAACAGAACCTGTCGTCAGGACAGGACTTACATTCACCGACTGCACGCCCCCTGTTTGATTACACGCTTGCTGCTGGAACATTTGATCGCTTGCATGCCGGACACCAGCTGCTCTTGGCGGCCGCAGCACTAAGCACTCGACGAAATATTGGCATCGCTGTCGCATCGGGCCCTTTGGTCAGGAAAAAAGCTGCATCTCTTGAGGATGCAGCAGCAGCTGGTATTGAGCCGTTTGCTTATAGACTTCAGGCAGCCGTTGCGTTTGTGCAGCTGCTAGCAGCATCCAGGGGAGTTAAAGTATCTTTAAACGGTTTCAGTGAAGCAATTGAAGAAGAAGAAAGAGCCTTTTCGGCGGAGGTACAGTTCCCGGGCTCCTTGACTGGTGTGTCTAGTAATTTTGAGTATGGATTGAGACTAATATCTGACGCCAACAGACGAACTCCTGAGGCACTAACCTCCGAAGAAAAGTTGTCATTGCGGGTTTTTCGGATCTCGGATGCGATAGGTCCAGCTGACCGGCTGATGTTTGACTGTTTAGTCGTATCACCAGAGACATTGAAGGGGGCCGACATGGTCAACAGCATCCGCAAGGAGGTTGGAAACAAACCGGTGTTTGTGCTTACAATCGGACTCGTGCCCACAGATACGCGTGTGTCTAGTGACACTGCTGTAGCACTCGCAGCGCACCTGCCCTTCCCCCACGACCAGCAAGCACCTCTGTCTAGGTTGGCAACTGAGTTTCACAGGTCAGCCCAGGTTGACACCCTGAAAGAGGCTTTTCCCGAGGCGCGAAGTATTGTTGCGGAAGCGGAGAAGGGACACATGCAACGTAGTGTTTCACAGGAAAGCCAGAAATCCTCGAATGCTTCGGCGGAGACGCTTTTGAAAAAACTCAGCTCCACTGAGCTGCGGCAACTGCAAGCAAAGCGTTTGCGTTGCGAATCTACTTCAGAGTTGTGGATGCGCTTTCAAAAAGCTTGGGTTTGGCTGGAAGGAAGTGAAGGCGATAAAGGCATTACTGGAGGGGAGTTTTTCGCCATGTTCTGGAGCACGTTGTGCGCTGAGCATGCCGCGCCCTGGAGGAGGCTTTGCACTTTGGATCGCGTGGCGCGGATTCTCAAGTTTGTGGACGACGTCGAGACGTGTGCAGAGACCGAACCGCTTGTGCTAAGTTCGTTTTTTGGCTCGCTTCTGTCTTGTCCCTGCAGTTATATCCAGCTGGAATCCGTTCCCTGCGAGGGTTCGCAAATCACTGCATTGGTGGGAAATCAGAGCGCTACGAAATGCACTGTGGCGAACTGGACGCCGGAAACTGAAGAAGTGGAGTGGCAAAAGTCTGCGGCCAAGCTCTTGGTCGAGCTTCAGCTTAGATCTGGAGGCAAAGGGTCATGCGCCGTAGCTTCAAGTTGTCGGAGAGCAACGGGGAAGGCGCCAGCATGTGCAAGCCTCCCTGAATATAGAGACGTTGGGTTGGAGGAACGCTACTCTTTGCTTTTGAGCCTCATGCAGGAGCAACGCGCCGCCAGTCTTGCAAAATTGGCGCCAGTTGTACAACGAAAGAATGCATGGCGAACAACCACCGATGCGAATCTGAGTGGGTATGAAACCGGTGACTTGATGCGGCAAGCACGCCGGATTACGCAGCTAGAATATGCTGAAACTTCCGTGGACCCGGCAAACCGGCTGCAGAGTTTGCGAGAAGAATACTTTTTTGTCAGCGATGACTGTTTCAGGAGACACCGAAAGAGGCAGCTAGAGCGCTTGCTGGATGATGCGCATTGCCTCGACTGCCTGAGTAACGAAGAGATGTTGGGCGCTCGAGCAGCCATTGAACGAGAGCTGCAAATGTTATAAACCGTGAGCAATTCGAAGGCAAACGCACCTTCGCAAAGCCCCAGACCGCGTTCGTAACCCTGACGTAACAATCGCTCGTTAGTGACTCCTCCTAGTCTGCGCAGGCGCATGGATGTTTCTATGTCGCATGTTGTCTGCACCAGAAACTCCAAGCCTGCGCAGTCCCAGCTTAACATGGGCGTTGTAGGCGCGAGGCAAAAGGAGTCCCTATACTGTCTCGGAACCTCGCTGCGGAGAGTATTTAAATATGAATGAAGGGAAAATGGGGCATTTAAACTCCGTCGTCTGAAAGCTTCCACCTGAATTTTGATCCCACGGCCACCTGTCTTCTATGTGCTTTGTGTAAGATTTGACGGGGAGTTCGGAGCCTGGCGTCGCGTTCCTTACGTTGCTGCTATCAGAGTGCTATAACTTGAGCCGCGTGTTCTGTAGAGTGCGCAACCTCAGTGCACCTGACGCTATGCAAGATCTCGGTCTATGTGCGAAGGTGTGGCCTAGGCCAAGTATAGAATGATAAGCTGACCACTGTCACGTAGTGCAAGACACATCACACAGCCTGCCATACTTTTGGCGCCCATAATATAAGCCCACGCAGATTGGTCTGCGGCAGTCAGGCAGTTGCATGCCACGCTGTTGCGTGGTGCAGTTCAGTACGACAAATGGTTGGGGTGTGCCAAGCAGTATGGGTCAACGAGTCCGCACGCACTTACAGGCAAGCAATGCGTGCTCTGTAAAGTTGCGGACAAGGCAGCGTTGCTTCCTCACAGTAGGTTGCTTTTTGAGGGCGCACAAAACCTGTTTGGTTTCAGCCCGGTGAACAACCGCTTCACTGGGTGCACAAGGAGAACGCGCAGCACTGTGTCTGTTAAGGTTACATTCATTGACGACAGAGCACTAGCATACCGCGTTTCCCCTCCCGACGCTCTGAGGCTAGCGGCTCGTTGCATCCAGTGAATAAACTGCACTGCAACATCTGTGGAACACTATGATTGCATTGGCCATGTAGTGTGGCCCAACGTGTTCACGGTGGCGCGTTTTAAATGGAGTGCTCAACGCCACGTCGCTGGCCACTGCTTAAACGCGCCCTACCCATTTATAGGTGCAAAGCTGAAAAATCCACGCCATCTGTAAAGGAAGGCAGTGTCGTGTCCTCTGCATTGGTGCCGTCTGGCACGCAGAACCCTCCTCTGACTTGACAGTTCACCAGCTGAAGTCGCAAGACAGACGAGCAAATACAAATACGCTTCAAACTGAACAGATTCGAGGTGCGGCGTAAAAGAGCACGGTACTGGTAAGTGGAGAGTGAAACTAAGGCTGTGCTGCTTCAGCTCTGGTCGTTTGTCGGCAGAAGCTCACTTTGCAGTCTCTCCCAACTTTAGCGCCGGGGCAAAGTATTACGCGTTGGAGCACTGCCTTTTGTCCAACTTCCGTGCCGGTCATGAGGATCGACTGAGTAATTTTGCAGCCTGACCGTAGTGAAGCATTTTTGGCCACGATGCTTCTCTTGACAACAACATCTGCCTCTAAAGTGGCACCGTCCGCCAGGACACAGTCGCGCATCTGACAATTTAAAGCATGAACATCCACAGTTGGCAAATAGCCGCAGGCATAAAGAAAATGCCAAAGCAGGAAGAGAGCGACAAGTAAACAACCACAGTTCGTCTTACGCTGCCAGGCTTTTTAGGGTTGTGCTCTGGTAGAGCCCAGTCAGGAAGTACTGCTCGCAATTCATCCAGCCGACCGCAACAAAACTGAAGACAGCACAACTAACGGAACGAGTCCACAACCATGATAACCCGTGCCGATCATTTTCTCCCTGCATCAGAGCTTCCTAGAACTTCCGCAAAAGATAGGCATATGGGGATGCGTGCGCATAGAGGGCGCGGAACTAAGGGGAAACAAGCACTGCAGCCGATTACCTTGTTGTTCATTTCGCGATAGTCAGCAAGATTATTAACGCGGCAACAAATCCCTGCTGCTTCTGGGTGTATGCAACACACGACTCGGTTCCCTTTGGCCTAAAGCACCAACGCATCCCGCCGAAGACTTGAAGCGACAGCAGGCAAACTAGATGCAGAAGCTAACTCAACTGCCAGGCAGCTTACTGGTCGTGGGGGAGGGTTAGCTGCGGTATAATGAACCGGCAAACCGCTGCCTGTGGGCACTTCGTTCGTTGGTGCTGTCGCTGTTTGGGATGTTGACGTTGGTTCCTCCTCGCCTTGATGCTGAATGGCCCACAGCTTTTGCTCAAAAATGTCGCACTCGAGCCGGCTGTTAGACCAAACTGGAGAAACCGCAACATGCCACCCGCAGCATCAGAAAAACTCTGAATATGGCTTGCCGGAGAGAAGAGGACACCATCAGCCTCCACCAAAACGGCAACAGCGAGGGGCGAGGGGATAAGCCACTTGAGAACCAGTACCTTCTGCTGCACTCGTCATCTGCATAGTGGTCATGTAGGGCACGAGGTCGAACTGCACAAGTCGACAAAAGATACTGGCATCAAGCCCGCTATTGATCCCTGCAGTCACTGCAATTCTACAGAGAAGGTCTCATAGTGCGCCATCTAACGTTGCAGAGTTTTAATCAAATTGACTCTTTATCGGCTCCAAGGTGCAGGCATCTTCAGGTGTCCAGCGCCAGGTAACTCACGCGGATCGAATATAGGCTGTGGCGCAACGACGGTTGATCGAAAATTTTAAGCGTCGCATGGGTGAAAACATAGACATGTGGATCGTAGTAATGAGGCAGTAAATGCTGGGATGGGTACAAGAATAAATGGAGCTTCGGAATCTGCAAGGAACTCCCATGACTCATGCCTGAGCAGGCGCGGAGACCAAAAGAAATCAAGCACGTAGTTGCAGCTGCTTCATATGCTGAAGAGTGTCCTGAAAGCCCAATCATTCAAGCCATTTTTCAGGAGCTACTACAACAAACTGCTCACTGTGTCTGTCCTGGATTGCGAGCAATTGAACACCCGCGTCATCCACAACAACCGTCACCGGATTGCCCCTGCTCGTATCAGATTTCTCCTGCAAAGCTTCCTTCGGCTTCTTGCCGCCTCCCTTCGCTCTGGCCTGTACTGAAGTCGGCTCGGCAAAAGGATCTCGTGGAATCAAGTAAACTGTGCACGCCGCCCCTTCCGCGCGATGTCGATCTGCTCACACAAGCAGCCCATGGAAGTCCACCGTAAAACACAGCGGAGGACCTCAGTGCTTATAACCGCTTTCACCATTGTCTGCCTATTCATGTTTTAAATAATGCGACCCTAGAACCCCTAAGAAAGCCACGCCGAAGGACTGCGAGCCCGGTGTGTGATGTGAAACCACAGCAACCTGCGGAGCAGCTTCGCAAAGCCTCACTTGCAAGGGCGAAAAAGTCCACGTGGCCGATAAGGTCGCAAGAGAGGACAATGAAATCCGTTGTAATTAAGTGGCGAATCTGCTGCAAAGCTTCTGCTGTGCCGCAAACTCTCTGTTCAGGATCATCTGTGATGTCCACTGAGCGTCGTCTATTGACCCCTGAAACGCCGTCCTCTCCATCTTCTTCTTCCCCCCGGCGTGTACATTTCAGTCCAACAACTTCAAGACGCCGAAATGAGCTGCGAAACTCCTGTTGTAAGTATGCAGAGAGCTCAGCTTGCTGCTGTGCTTGAGTGACAACGATTACGTCTGAAGAACGCACAAACTTACACTAATGCAACAGTAGATTTTCCAATATATTTCAACTGTACATACATTTTTATCCCACAGCATTCCAAGAGGTACAGCACTTGCGCAGAAACAGGGAGCGCCTGGACGCACCGCCGAATGTAGCTTCCTGTAGGTTTCTTAGACAATACCATATCATCGGCCGGTTCGCGACCGGTAGCAACGCCTTACACGAAACAGCCCCAGCTGATCCATGTGAGTCCAGGAGGGAAGAAAGGCGAGAGCCGCTGCCTCCAGCCAACACTACAACCTGAAAATAACACGTAGCAATCTGGCGTATATGCCAAAACCGTACGTCCTGCAAGCTGCTGCTCATGGAGAGCCTCCACTCTGTATGCAACGTGAAAAGAATGGAGTCGCGTTCGGTCAAAGTGGGCGGAACTACGCATATTACCTGAAATTCTGGGAATGGGTTTTTCTGCTGAGGGGCGTCAGAAGGGGCTGCCGCGCCTGCGGCATCTGCTGTGTGCGGTGACATGGCCCATCAAAGGGAGTACGCCACTCACTAAACCTTTTCACAACATACAGACTCTGATGAGAAGATTTTCCTCTTCAACTGGTGGAAAGCTGGCAAAGCTTTCGAAAACCATATATCCTCTAGTTCCAAGGGTGCAATGCGGGGAGCAAGGCGCAGGCCGAACTCTGCAACTGACGAGGCCGAGGATATTTGCAGCGACCCAGAGCTTCTACTTGACAGGGTAACTATGAAGAACTACAAGCTGTGACGCCAGCTGCAGCGTCGGCAGCCCCACTTCTGGAACCACCGTACCTTCCAACGTAGGATCACAACGAGTTGCTTTGCATTCTAGGGTTAATTGGCCTCTGGTTGCAAATTAATGGAGCATGGTATTGACTGTAAATAAGGTATAGCCTGTTAGCGCTTGCAGTTTGTCTCTGTGTCGAAGATGCAAATGGGGCTGGCCTGTCACGTGCCATTCGGCTTGCTGTCTGAGTTGACCTAGACTGCGACAGCAGCTGCAAAAGTAAATGAGGTATTGAAAAATATAGCTAAAAGGGTATATCAAGTGTCTGGATTGGCTTGCGGGTGCAGCGTTTCCTACTCTAAGTACTCGGGACGCAGACACACGTTCGCTAGACAAAAGCGCAAAGAAGTTGTCGGCATAATTGTGGAACCCCCAGCTCTCAGCCCTCCTCCACAAGTAGAAACCCCTCTCCTCTTTTTTCAGGTACACATCACAGGGACGGTACCACCAAATGTAGCCACTAGAGCAGCCTGTTTGATCGTCATTTTGGGACTGGTGGCAACTGGTCGTCACACCCACTATCCTGTCAGGCAAGCAGTCGCTCCACAGACAGCTTAGTTTCTCCGGCGGCGCTCAGCATTCTGAGGAGACTCCAATTCAGGCCGTCCTAAATTGTGTTCTGTTGTTCGTTTGGGTAGGCCGGCGCTCCCCCAGTTACAGGAGGCTTCTACAGGATGGAGATTTGCCAAAATCTTGGATGATATTTCGGGGACTCCCTGATCTACGTTTGTGTCGGCTTCTCCTTCGAAAGGCTTGTTCGTCTTCACGTACAGCGGGCGCTGTCTGACTGAGCCGAGCTTTAGAGCAATGTTGAGTGATGGACAAAGAATCGGAGTGGGGCTTTGTCTCTTGGGACTGAGCCTCGGCTTTGTCGGCATGTTATGTTTCTTAGACCGAGCTCTGCTGACCCTTGGAAATTTGGCGTTCATGTCAGGTATCTGGTTGGTGCTTGGTGGCAGGAAGACGCTCAAGTTTTTTGTCCTGAAGCCGCACAAGTGGAAAGCGTCGTTGCTTTATATCTTGGGAGTGCTCCTTATTGCCTTGGGTTACTCGCTTATCGGACTGCCTTTGCAGCTGTATGGCCTATTGCGTCTCTTTGCTTCGTTCCTGCCCCAAGTCCTCGGGGCTGTACGCCTTTCTCCCATTGGCTGCTGGATCTTGCAGCTACCGGGGCTCAAACAATGCACCAAATGGGTGCTTGATGGCGATAAGCAGCTTCCGCTCTAAGCGTGCGCTTGATGAAGGTACCTCCAGATACTCAAGGCGTCATGCATCTCTATCTATGTGAATAAGGCGTCTAATTTCCCCGTAAGCGCCTTTGTACCTTCCCGAACAAGAACTTTTGTAGTGGAGGTGAAGCAGTGGAAGCAATGGCCAAACTGTGCTGCTCCTGTTTCTGTGTTGACGTAAGAGCTGTGCGGCGGGACCCTACATTTCTTTTCGCGACGCCGAGTACAGCTCTTAACACAACGCACAGTGTCCGTTGAGACATCTACAGATTTTTTTGCGGAGGTGGAACTGTGCTTCTGCAAATTTGCAATGCCAAACAGGCAGGATGTGTCGCTGTCCTCCATCCAATTCGTCACAATGGTTGTGCTATCTGCTGTCAACCCAGAGGGGAGCCATCCAGCAGATCTCTCCAACTGAGGCAAAAAAAATATTTCTGGTTTTCGTGCGAAATTATGGCATTCCTGGATTTCGTACTGCAGAACCAATGTAGACGCATTTTTGAGGACGTTAAGTAGTAATGCACCGGCGGTTGGATATATTATGTGTGGCTGCAATAGTTACGGCGTTGGCACTAGTTTGGAGCGGCCTCCAGGACTTCCACTGAAAGCATTGGGGCGAAAAGGAATTTCTTAGAAATATTTCTTACGTAGGGCAAAGAAATCCGTAGGCCTGCTGCATATGCATTGTCAGAAACCGTCCGCTCAGGCGATGTGGAATCCCTCGTAACCTCATAGAGTGTGCAGCTTCAAGACACTTTTTACATACCGCAAATATGATTTTTGTTGAGAAATGTGTTGTGAGGTGCCGCCATAGTTTTGTGGTTTACGAAAGGAACCCAGAGATCAGACGCGCCCGAAACCGCCGGCGGGAGAGTGCTGGCCGGCCACGTTAACTTCGTCTGACCAGCTCACCCACATTCTCCATGAGAACGCTTTTGCATTTATCAGCTGCATGCAGCTCTGCTACCGATCATTAGTGAGCGGAGTGAGCGCTTTTGAAGAGTCCGACACGCCTGGCTTGCAGCTGCCTAGCGTCCGTGGGACTCCAGAGCGGTGACCAGGGGCTTCCGACCCACACAGCCCATTGAAGCTCGAAAAGTTGATGAACATGAAACAAAGTTTCACTGCTATATTTTGCTATCCTCTGCTGATGTCAACTTAAGAAAACGTAAAAGAAGGCGTCTATGGCGATTAAGGGCCTCGCGGCAATGCCGTTACGCGTCGGACAAGGCAATGTGGTCTATGGCGATCGATTCGCTCAACAGGCTTTCTTTTCCCGCCCAAATTTGCACTAAACACTCATAGCCTCTAGCCTCAAAAGATCTCATTTACGTAGCGCCCGTGTAGGCTCGTCTTTTGCGTGCCTCCCCGCCCCGCCGGGCTCGCCTCCAAAGCTGATCGGCTACGCAAAAGGGAAGCCAATTTATGAATAAAAGGGTGCCAAATTATTTTTTACTATCATCTCTCAGATACAAGTTTGTTGTCCAAGTATTTGGTGGCTTCGTCGAGACGTTTTGGGTTGAGCGCCTTGCGGCGACAGCCGTTTGGCGTCAAGAAGGTCCGCAACCACAGTAGTGGTCTGAATGGTTCACAACGGGTGTGCGCCGCTTGCTTGCCTCTCCTTGGCCTGAACTTTTTTTTCTTGTCTGTGAAGAGCGTTCTAAGCTCTGCAGCTTCCAATTGGTCGCGCCACAGCTGCGTCACATTCTCGCTTGCGAACGCCTGCCGAAGGAAATTCTCCCTCGCTAAGACACGGCGCTACCTTGTAGCTTGTTGCACCATCTTGGGGCATTTTGAACCACAGGCTATTGGGTATTAACACGGCAATCCTTAAGCCGAAGCTGCCCACTGTTGGAGATTCACAGTCGGGTCAATCATCTGAAAATGGAGAGCAGCACATGCGCTGATTCTCAACGCTGGAGAGCTCTGCACGGAAAAAGAACTGAGGAGCTTCTGAAGTAAGAACAGGCATCAAGCGTCTGCGTTGTGTCCACTTAGTGTCAACAAGTCTGCCACCTAGCTCAAAGCTCCTGTTTCTGAAAGTGTATATATCCTCAGGCAGCCAATGGAAGTGTGCTTTAGTACTCCACAAAATCCTGATATGAAACCGGAATGTTCCGAGTAAGTTTAATGCAACTAAGAACTAAGGTCTCCTGCTCTCCACCGGCCACGTGCCGATAAGCGGATTTGGAATAGAAGCTGCGGATGTGCCTCGCAGGGGTTCTGCTGCTGGCCTGCGGACGTCATGGGAAGACAGTGGCTTTAAAGGCCTCCATAGACGTCAACGATACGCCACAAGCACTGAGGTAGAGCCTCCACTGACACATTCAGCGATGTACAGTGGCTTTTGCATTGCAGCACTTGTCAAGGAATGAGAACTCGAAAACTCCAAATTGCACTGTTTTCTGTTATCATTTTCAAAGGTTGCCGAAAGCCTTGTTTGCGGAGGTGAGCAGTCCAGCAAGCCAACTAGCGCTAGGAAGCTCGAACTCTATCAGAGAAGAAATTCCAGCAGCAAGCTTCAAGATGCCATCAAATGGACAGGTGGTGTGTTCTTCAACTTCAGGCCTAGCATTCAGTATCTTACTAAATGACTAACTAAGAGCGAGCATTCATGGCCTAGTGAGCATTGCGGACTTGTGGCGCAGGCCAAGAAGAACCTGGAGTTTTGAATCTGCAAGGGTTACAAGGAATTTCGGTAGATAGCGCTCACTTTCGGTCTGTGCAGAGCCTGAAACGACTTATCCCACTTTCTGGGAAGCAGAATATCGGAGAAATTTTGGAGCATCGCTTTGTCCATACGGGTCGTTCCGATCCTACTGAGAATAATGAGCCTCATGTTGGAGGGAAGGCACAATCCAGGTTTCCCCGTGACTCGCACGACATTCGAGGCATAATCCACCATTCGTACTTGTGCGTGGTAGCCGTGAGCAACCCAATCCCTTTGGTGGCATGCTGCATATACTTCTCTCCATGCGCCTACTTATAGTTGCGGTATACCGGCAATACGCTGTCTGTTTTTCAGGAGTGGCGATCCAACTTCACTTGTGCACCGTCGCACGTCTCACGTTCACGCTGCAGAAAACCCATGCAGATGGGGTGTCGACGTTTTTAACTATCAGCTACCAGAACCCAGGAAGCTACGAGGCATAGCCACTGAAGAGAACTTAGGGGTATGCCTTGGAAAAATGCAGTCTTGGTCAGTGGATTTTCGTTTGCAGTTCTGCAATCCCTGGACATGCACTCCTCATTTGCTTTACGGTTCCTAATTGTGTTTATAGGCTAATTTGGTCCCAAAGCGGAGTCTAGATGAGCGGTCAAATTCCGGAAAAACGTCGAGTTGCACCACGCAGAGTCATTTCCAAGGGCATCTTGAGCCGGTACGTTAGAGTCACTTTAAAGGGCATATTAGAGTCGGTATGTTATAGCTATACTACTGCTACGATTTGGAGCGTGTCCCACAAACGCCCGTGGCTCCATTTTCTGTTTTGTTTTCGCTTGCATACAGTCAACGCTGTATCCCGTGGAACGCTCAACTCAAAAGTTTTCCCAAGGGAAGAGGAGGACCACAACGGAAACAGACAGTCTCGATGTGAGGGCCTCAGTTGTTGGTTGAAAATTTTGCGTCTTTGCACGAAAATCACGCCAATATCTCTGACAGTCCTTCGATTTCTGATGCTGCTGTTGTTTCGAATATGCAATACTGCGTTTTCTTCCCCTGCAGCAAACGTGCACTCCCTTTAGAGAGGAAACCTTTCGAAGCATTCGTGGGCCTGGTGCCACACGGTTGCAGAGCCATCTACACGTGAGAATTAACAGCAATCGCTCGTCGTGCTAGCATGAATTAAGCCTCTCCACAGATCCATCAATACTCTCTGTGACGTGCCGTGCTGTCCTCACTGTCAATACTGTGACTACTTTTGGGCTTGCTGTGTTACTTCAGAATGGATTGGTGCCTTCTGCCGAGCCAGAGTCAAGCAGAAAGCGATGCAGCGAGCTCTGGCACACGGGCAGTCTTCAGGTTAGCTGTCGCCGATTGAGCTTGCTTCATGACCTGGAATTATGGGTTTGCGGAACCAGAGCTAAACTATCTAGATCCATACGTCTCTGGTGTTCTGCAGAGGGACTTGACTCCCCAAGCTCACGTGGAAGAGCGCAGTGGACGCCGTCAGCACCCTGCAGGGTTCAAAGGTTCACTCGAAAGGAGCTCACTGATGCCTATATAGAGCGGCACAGCATTAGCAGGATCCACCAGAGGATCGACACGACAGTTATTCACAAAGACTCAACCGTGTAAAGTCCAGAGTGCCAGCAACAGCCACAATGCGGGAATAGACTTGCTTGTTATTTGGATTCAATCCAGCAGACGTTCCTTGAGACCGTCGATACCATGGGTATCACGGCCCTCCCACAAGTCTAGCAGAGGATTCGCAAGCGCCTGACTTAGGTCAATGCACCTTGCAAGAGCAATCAAGCCACGGAGAAAATCAGCAGATCCCATAACGTGGTACCAACATGAAAGTAGTGCGGCATTCGCTAATCTTGTCTGTGCGCGGCAGCGTACCGGAAGGAAAGCTGGGGCATTTCATTGTAGAATGTATGTTGAATCTCGAACTCCTGTCTTTGCTTCCTAGCGGTCCGCTTTATTGGATGAATTTTCGAGTCACATCGCATGTAGTGTACGTGAGCGCTGCACTGCCAGAAGCTCGCGTATTCAGACTTCAACATGATCTCTTACACTTGGGGTAAACAAACCAACTTCGCCAGCGTCTGGCATTTATTTGTTGACAGCAGCGGGTTTGTCGAAGGAATCCTGGAGCACACCATAAAAGCAATTGTTGTGTTTGCACACTTTCCGCAGGAGGCAGAAGGTCTCCCCGACAATCGTAGCACGAATCAAATGCTTAATGCATCAAAATATCGTCAACTCTCAATTATCTTTTGTACGCATAGGCAACTCAAGCACATATGGCAAGTGTTTGTTCAACAAAGTAGTAGTCCCCCTAACATAATTCAAGGACGCTGCGTTCATAATTCAATAGTTTCCAAGGGATTCTAAGGCTTACGCTGATTCGTGATGCGCCACCTCCATGGTCTTGCACCAAGTCCACTTGATGTTTTATGTTTTTCCTCCAGCCGCAGCTTAAGCCTCGAATGTGCTTTGACACTCTCCCAGCTTGGTATGTCAGAGGCCACTCAAAGGTAGGGTATGACTCCTTTGAAGTATGCCGATTCGCCAGAAAGCATGTGCCACAGGAGTCATTAGCAGCAGCGTGTCCATAGGGAGGAGAACATCCGAACAAGACACCGCAAACAGCACCGGGGATCAACATGATCACCGCCAGCACGCAGATGTTTGCGGGAGGCGGTACCACCGAAATCTTGCTGCACGGTATTGTATGGATTCCGAAAAAGTAAACCGCAACGGTTGCTAAGAGAAACTTCTACCTTTCACGTACTCATCCAAGTACGCGCGCCTTGTGCCGAGTCTGGCATCGCCACCTCGGAACCACTACACTTTAAAGTAGTCTCCAAGTATTGGCGAGGCTCAGTTTGTACTGTAATTGCAAATATATATTACATGGATGTGTCACGGATGTAGTCCGTCCGAGTTATCTGCATATGTTTGACTGGGGCTTGCCGGTCTGTGAACTCGGGTCATACAGTCCCCAGATCTTTGCTGCGGAACTGAACTACATACATTCTGAATAGCAGAGAGTTAATGCGCCCATCCACTGAGAAACCATTTCATTATGGATCTAATTGGATAAGCGCTACGAGGTGGTTGGGTCAAATGCATTCGCACCAACCACAGTTGCGCAAAACTGTCTGGCGATCCACGCTGTTCTTCACAAAACGCATTCGGCAGGAACTGTCATTAGCCGCACCGAAGCTCTTGAAATTTGCCTGCATATGAATGTCATGTACCAATTTGCTCGTAGTTGAACGTGGACGATGCCATAAAATGTAGAGGGTGGCAGTCCATTGTCAGCAGCTCTACTGTCCACTGATTTTATCGTAGCACCATGATTTAGGCTAGCAATTACTTAGGTTAGCATTCACTTTCTTTTTTTCCTAATAAAAAAATCACCTCACACACAAATGAGCTGCCTCCTTACAAGTCTTCATCCAAACTTGAAACAATGCCAAACACAATCGCCTATACTTGGTCCCAGACACCCACACAACTATCACTGCGCCTTCGCATTCCTTCCCTGAAGGCGGATCTGCACCAACTGCAGCGTAGCACACAGTTGTCTGTTGTTGTTGCCATTTGTTACGTGCGCGTGTGCTGGCACCCGTGGGTTCTGGAGCTCGACCTTTGGGACGACGTCGTCTTTCAATCTGCAAAGGTCATTCCAGGGGCTGAATGTCTCACCATTACTGTACCAAAGGCCCAAAAAGGCTTGTGGGGTTCTGTCGCTGCGACTAGTAACCCGCGGCTACAGCAAAATGACATACGGCAGCGTAGACAAAGAGCTATTGCTGATTACACCCAGTGGCAGGAGCAGTTGAATCGCGCGCGCGTTGGTGCCAGGGATGCCCTCAAAGAAGCCCAGCAAAAACGCCTTTGGAAACAACAGAAGGAACAGCGAGAATGGCAGCAGCGCCAAAAGAGTCTACAGGTGGAACAGGTGCTTCAGCAGATAGAAGACGATGAGCGAACAACGCCCGAACAAGAGAAGGCAAAGGTGTCAAATTCCCATAAGTGTGTTGACTATCAAGTGACTGACATAGAAATTCACGGCATTCCCGAGCCACAAGGCATGCAAACGCCACAGAGTGCTCAAGGAAAGTCCAAACAGTCACAAAATGGGGTAGATCCGTGTTTGATAGCCAGCTGGTGTGAAGATGCAAACAAGGACTGCGACAGTGAATGCAAGCTCGGCGCAAGCGTAACCGTTGATAGTAGCTTCTCCAGCACAAACAGCAATGCAGCGCTACAGGCAGACCCAAAAACGGCTGCAGACTCTGCAATGACATATGGAACAAACGAGAGGAAAAGAAATGCGCCAGTTGACTTGTCGGCAGGTCAGATTGCTTGCGGTGAATTGCTTTCGGAATCTGTCCCCGGTTTAGCTTTACTAGCAGCCACAGAAGCTCATACCACTCAGCCCGTATCCTGCACAAAAGTACGTGTTTCCTTTGGACCCAGAAGACCAAATCGAGTCCCAGCAAGAGGCCCCCGCGTCCCACCGCTCCCTCATACTGGACCAGACCTACGCTGTGGCGGCACTCATAGGTCAACGCCAAATGACTTGTCTCGAGTGCTGCAAACTAGCCCACATTGGTTACAGTCGAAAGCAGCTCGTTTACTGATGTGCGGAGATGTAGCAGCAGCGGCTGAGGCGTATGCAACAATTCTACAGCTTGCCCAGCAGCATAGCCAACATCGTCTTGTAATTGTCAAGGCTCTTTGTGGACGCAGCCTAGCCAGGCTAGCGTTGGGGGAGAACAGAGAGGTGAAACAGTACACTTGCTCCTTTTTTGCTTTGAATTCAGCTCCCCTGCGTATCCTGTGACGCCTCCTCATAATAGGCAAAATAACAAGACTTCTTTGAATAGTAGGCAATAATAGTGTGCAACGGGCGTTATATTCGTTGCAGGCTATTTCTGACTGCAAAGAAGGAATGGCAATTTTGCAGGAACACATGCGACAAGAAGAAACGGCGGCTGCTGTTGCGGGGCAGCCACTAGAGAAGAGCCTAGAACACAATGAGTGCATGCACTTGCAGCGAATCATTCTTGCCCGCCAGGCTGCAGCGTTTTTGAGGCTCGACTCCCTTGAAGAGTAAGCAGCTTGGCCACTACAACAAGAGCATTCTTCATAGCCTCCAGAACAGACAAACAAGAAGTTGCCAGCACAAAAAGACAGCATGAAAGAAGAAAAAGGTGCTGCATCGCCGACATCAAGTTTATCTCACTGCGTTGTTTCATCTACGTGCAGCGCTGCAAGGAGCCTAGAAGAGCTTCTTCAGCTCTACACAACGGTAGAAGGGGAGTTCGGAGATAGTGGTCGTTCTTATCAAGAAAGGATCGCCATAGCCGCTGACCTGATGCATATAAAATGGTGTGCCTTGGCATTGTTTCCTTTCCGCAGGCTTCTGTAGGAAAGTGTACTGCACTCATTAGCTATGACATAGCTGCTGTTTCCTTGCTCTTTCGTTGTCGTTCCTGCAAATCTTTCGGTTTTCTGAGTGCCACCAACAACTTTCTAAAAGCTGACTTTGATGCGTTGCTGAAGGTTACAAGTTATTGGAAAAGCGAAGGCGGAGGCCGACACAGTACTTCGGTTAGCATTGGCAGCCAGGCATAAACTGGCTACCCTGGAAGCGCCATCAGCAAATTCCACAGCAGCTGATCACCAACAAGATGAAGTAGGGCTTGGAGTAGACTCTGTTACAACGGAGAAAACTGCTACGGGCCAGTGCGCTCTCCTGCTTCGCTGCATCAGGATTTACACACACTCACTAGAAAATCTGCTGGCTCAAGTGTTTTCGAAGTCTGATCAGCTAGGTCGCATTGTGACGGTTGATGACGGCAACTGCCCGTGCGCAGTATACTCAATGAAGACTGGCCTAATAGGACAGCAGGACCCAGCTTCATCAGCATCGACTGAAGAGCAAATCACATTCACAGAAACTGAAACACACGCCTGCGAAAGAACGAAAAATGCCACATCGAATGCCGAAGAAGCCGACCAGTCTGCTACAATAATCAAGTTGTCTCGCCAAGTGGAGGAAGCTGTGAAGGCATCCGAATCGGACGGAAGCAACTTCCCATGCGCCGCAGCAGCAGCAACAGTGATTGCTAATATGACACTGGCCCTAATGCTGCTGCAGCAGGGGAGCGACAGAACAGCAGCAGAATCAGCTCTCACAGCTGCGGACGCACTCATCTGGCATGTTGAGGAACAACTCCGGTTGCAGCATGTTCTTATCCGGCCAACGTTCTCATGGGCAGAAGAGCATGGCGAGGACATCAAGAAGTGCGAGCCAAGCACGGAAGGGACGATGCATAAAGGGATTACGGATGAAGTTCGCCAGATGCCTGCTACGCCAGTGAGCCTTCTGCAGCAGGTACGGAAGGCTTTACAGACTATTCTGATTGTTTGTTAAATTCGATAGCAGAGCAGCCTTGAAGACATGCATACGTCGAAGTTCTTGTGACACATACAACCACAAGAGAGCTCCGACATTCGAGGCTTCTGTGTTACCGGCCTTTGCCGATTGCTTGTGTAAGCTTTGCAACTACCTCCAGGTGCGTCTGTTTCTTCGGAACTAAGCGCATTTTAAGTTGGTATGTGCGCACCCAGAATCACAGGTTCACTCTGCCGACTGCTTGTCGAGTGAACCTGTGACACTGGGCGCGCACATAACGACTTCAAATGCGCTTGGTTCCGAAGGAACACACGCACTTCGAGGTAGCTGCAAAGCTTAAAATGCTGCCGGGTGACTGTATTTGTTCCTTGCCCTTGTCCCACTGCAGGCTAACGGGCAGTTCATGTGGAGACTGAAACAGAAAATCTCTTCAAGGCGCGTCAGATTGTTGCGTCATCAATAAGAAGTACCAAGACACACAATTAGTCATGAACAGGCTGGCTCGAGAACAAGAAGCAGTCTGAGGACACGTAGCAGCGTTCCTGACAGACTGCTAGTTAACTGTCCTTTTAAATTCATCATGATTAGTGTGCATCCCAGGAACCTTCGCGGTGAATGCCACTCCGTAACGTTTTCCGCGCTAGGCGATATGGTATGCTTCAATGAAATCTCTCTGCCGCAGCAAAATCCGATGGTTTGTTTGTGCCTAACGTACCGTAATAGCGGCACTTCCCGAACACAGTTGCGGTCAAGTGCGAGACTCACGGCACGCCCTCCACAAAGCCCACTTTGTTGCTGTTCGCCTTCTTATTATGGCGTGCCGTGGGTACCCATCACTAGACAAGCTTTTGTGTACGCTCGACTCAGTAAAATGAACTTAGCTGAATCTGTCAAAAGCTAGGAAAGCTCAGCTAATGATCTCCAGCAATATTTGGAGAGCACTACGTAGGCAATGCTATGCTTCCAACACTTCTCTAAGAGCTGCCCTTGCAAAATGGGAACTGCAGCAGCTCAAAACTCTCCACGGAGGCTGCGGTCAAAAACCCACTACTCCTAGACAACACCGTTATATCTTTCTATATACCGTAGAATCACTTGTGAACATTCCACTGCTAATGTGAAACGAAGCCAGGCCGTAATGGTTGCGAAGAGCAAGCAAGCTTCAGCGTACAGCATTGGTGCAGGACGAAGGCACACTCTTATCAATTGAAGCTACTAATGCGAGTGGCGTTTCTCTCAGCGAATCAGAACTGATAGTACTACTTTTGCGTGGGTTAACATGCAAGCTTCAACGCAGGATATAAATAACAACGGCATAATCACGTCTGTCGCTGATAAAGCAAGCAACACAATCACAACCTACTCAGTTCGTAGTGGATTGTGCGTCATGAAAAGTATAAACGGCCACCCTTGTGTTCGACCTTGTGTCAAGAAACTGGAAGGTTTCTGTACAGAAAGTTCGGAAGACTTTCGGCGAACGAAGTGTGCATCCCCATACACTGAGAGGCTCCAATATCTTTGCAAGCGTACAAATATTCCCGATACAATCGCGCGAGAACAGCACAACCTTACCTCGGTGTGCATAAACCAAACTCGTAACTGCCCCCACTTCCGTCCGTTGCACCTGAAGTCAGCCTCGTTATCTCGGAGATGCGTAGAGCGAAAACATTCTGCGTCCCAGCCAGCCTTAAAGGAGTGTGTCCCTCATAATAAACTTTAATCTTGGTTTACTGCACAGTGCCACAGCCAATCGACCAATTCTGACCTTGTGTAGCGCAGACCAAGCGTCTTCTACTGCTCTCGTCAGGAGACTGCCACTTGCACGTTAACACCCAACCAGCATCTACATTTAAAAGTCGGTCTGCATTTTATACTTTCCAATGCACTGCCAGTTCGCATTTCTCTAAGTGCCAGTCTGCCCACTTCGATTCAGAGTGGCGAGGTTCTTGGTCGCATTTCTTCGTTGCGGTGTTGATTTGCCGCCATTTGAAAGCCTACACAGGGACAATACAGAGCCGACAAGGCAACTGATTCGGCAAATCAGCAAGTGGTTGACCAGCTCCAACGGGAAAGCAGTTTCAACACCAACGGATTGCCATAATACCTGGGAGAACTTCAGAATATCCGACTGCAGGGAAAAACATTTGGGCTCAGTGATTATTAGAAGGCATCTCTGCCACACAAAGCATCAACTTCAAAATTACATTGTCGAAGTTTTTTCGTATCCATCTACCACCCATTCTGCAGTGCTTGATGTGCATCTCCCACAATTTACTTCTCAGTCGCACCCCAGCTCATTCAGCACTAAGCATAGCAATAGGAGACCTCACGAAGCTACGACTTTCGTTCAAATCCGCACCGAGGTCAGCCCACTACCCCTGCCAAAGAAACACGACGTCCAGCGTGGGCGTCGCTGAATCCCTGCAATCCACCGCTGCTTGAAGGCCACCTAACGGCCCGAATAAGGAGGAGAAATGAATACAAAGTTTATTTGGTCACCCGGAGCACAAGCAGTATGTTAGATCTCAAAGCAAACAGCCCCCATCACCCTGGACCGCGTGTTGCCCTGGCACTCTGCCCACAAGTTGTACATAAAGCTGCGGTACCACGGAAAGCCTTCGTGTTAAAATTACATAACCTTTCACTGGACACATCTGCAACTTTGAAGTTCCTGTGTTTCACAGCTGCATATGTCTGCTGCTTATCGCAGCTGGTCCCTGCATGCCTCTGGCGGGCAGCCCCCTGGTTCAGCCATTCAGAAAGCCATCAACAGCGATCATATTTCTTGAAATGGTGATTCATGCGTATACATTTTTTTTTCAAGGACGACTACGTTCACTCCCGCCGGTGCAAAGCTCCAGTAGTTCCCAGCGAGCGGCATGTCATTAGTGAGACGTGCGCTTCATTTCACCCCATTGGCTTCTGAAATGCCAGAGTAGAAGAAATAAATTTCAGTTTAGTACTGTCAGTGGCATCAACATCAGACGGTCACGTGTCTCCAGCCGTGTACTGCGTAGTTAGGGAAAAGAACTTGGCATGGAGATGTACACACTTTGCTGTAGCACAGTTCGTAGTGCAAGTGCAACAAATAACTGTGTAGTCAGAATGTGTGGACGCACCACTCATAGGGCCAGGAGTCTGAAGAGGCTGGGGGAGAATCCAGCAGGCAATTCGAAAATGGCGAAGATATACCAAATTGTCGACGTCAAACAGTATCGCCAAGAGAGCGACAGGGTGCGCCATCAGCCAAACGTTCACACCTAGTTCATCTTATATACAGAAGAGCTGTCATTCAGAGGCTGTTTAACGTTCACTCTGAATGCTGTGGAATGGGGGATGAGCGTCTGGCCGTAGTTCCTCAGCACAGGGCAGCAACTCTAGACTTCTACACCATTTCGTGCAGGACTGTTTCTGACTATGTTTCAACAGGACCTATGGTATGTCCTTTTTGAGCATGAGAGGGAACGTGGCTACACCTGGCAGCCGACGGTAAGCCAGCAACAGCATTCTCTCGAAGCCCTTTGAAGTGTTGGGATATCAAGTGACTACGCATTATGGCATTATGTGGCGTTCCTTTTTCAGAGCGTGCTAGGTGTTATCCCCAATGAGTTGCGTCACAAAATGCTGGTAATGCGACGCAAGTAAGGCGAGTTGCAGCTCTAGTAGATCAATTTATGAACTCTAGCTCCTTGGCTTTTTGTTACAGGTGAGGCAGCCATAGTCGCCATGTTCGTCAACTATTAAAGGTCAAAATCCGTATGAATATTTGTTGTTTTTGTCGCTACTCAGATGGATAACTTCCATGGAACTTAAACATCAGCTAAAAGTCAGACTTCTTTGGCTACTGTCTGGATTCTGCCTAGCCAGCATGGCATGCGCAGGAACTGAACGCTGGCGTGAAACTTTAAATGATCCGCTGGCTTTTCGAGCCTTCCAGGTAACGCTACCCATCTGCTGGTGGATCATTCTAGGCATTGGACTCAGTGGCATTTCAATTTGGCAGGCGTTACGCCTCTCACAATATCCGTTTCCTCATGCATGGCCCAGAAGCTCTCGCTTAGTTCAAAGCAATTCAGGAAGAGATCGGCCGCCAATGCCAACACGTATCCAACCTGAAAGAGCTTGCAGAAAACGTTGACCGTTTTTCGCCCCGTTTCGTCGCCTGTTCTCGTGGACAGAAGACGTCAAGACATCAAGGTGTCTCCCAGAGTGGCAGCAGAATGGTTTCTCTGATAAACGTGACGACTGATGTATACAGCTGTTCGTATCTACACTGCTTCCATCTAAATGCACATAGGATTTCAAGTACGCGGCCCTGAAGACTGCGGGACTAATTTGTTTTGCCTGAAAAACAAGCCTGAATTGATTCAGAGTGAAGGCATCATATGAAAGAAAACATTACATACTGAATGATTTCAAGAAGCTGATGCACTCATTAAATGCAGAAGTACTTCACTGGCCGTTAAGTGATTTCTAGATTACCAAGGCAAAGTCTGTAAGCAGATCTAACTTGAGCACTGCTTTTCCACGATAACGGTAGCTGTGTTCTGCCCAAAGAACCATAGGAATTGTATTGCATTGGGAAGCACGCAATCCACCAAAATTTTAAATAATCTTCTTAGTGAGCATCTTCATGAAAGACACACTGCTGGCATTTCAGAGCACGCAAAATTCGTGAGTGCGCGCCTTCATGCAATGCTCATAAGTCAAGGAAAACCTGGTCACGCAAGCAAGTACGGGAATACGAACCTTGTGAGGCTACGATCCGGTTTTTGAGACATTAGCTTTGACTCGGTTTAGGCTGTTCAAATGAGTAAAACACGTAAGCAAGTACGGGAATACCAACCTTACGAGGCTGCGATTGGGCCATTGGGACACTAGCTTTGACTCGGTTTAGGCTGTTCAGATGAATAAAAAAGCGTAACAGGCTCTAATTTCAAATATTCAGCATCTAGCAAAGCTGAGATTAGAGCTGTGAAGCTTGCTTAGACTCAGCCTGGGGTTCATGCTCACCCCGAGCAATCAGTCTTCAGGCGCTACAGACTTCCTCTTCTAAATTTTGCTATTCTGTAGGCAGAATGGGTGTTGGTTTTGTGTAGCCTACAAGATATTTCATGGCCATGGGTACGCCCGATAAGATGCACGCACGTATCTACGAGTTGCCAATACTATTCTCAGTAAATGCATGTGATACGCTCGGAAAACGCTACATAGCAAGTGCTTTTACTAAAAGGCATAGCAGCATTCCTCTTTGAGGGAAGGGAATCAAGTCGGCATAAGCCAGACACTGTGAGTAAAGTGTACAAAACTGTAATGAATGGCTATTAGAGGGCTTGATGCTGCTGTGTCAAAGTTCCAAGAACGAAATCAATGCGCAGGACGTATGAAACGCGGGTTCTAAATTCGATGCTGTAGC